TATTCATGACACACCATGGGGACGGAATCCTGCCTGCTCTGAAGTGCTGAGTAAACACTTTGCCCTCTACCACTTTGAGACTGTGGGGAAGATAAGGAAAAGCCCAAACGTAAGGAGCTGAAAAACAATTGAGAGCATGAAGCCAATTACAGTCAGGAAACAAATTCTTTCCTCCTGAGGATGCCAAGCAACGTTAACAGTGTCAGTTTCAAAAGTACATTGGTGATATGTTGTGTTTAGGTTGTATGCTTGTATTAAATCATCAAATAAACATGACAATAAGACAAAGCAACTCATAAAAAAACACTGAAACAAACACGGAGCCACAAGAAACCAGTTGACGTAAAGCCATAAGCAGCTACTGACCAGCACATTGATCTTTTAATCATTGTTCTGTATTATCTACACCATAAACCATATTATATGCCAAAAAAAGCCTCATCATCTTGACTTAGTTTCAACCCAGCAGATCAGGCGAGGAATAGTACTAGTTTTAAAGGTTGAAAGAAGCCAAGCCCGACTTTTGAAGTCATTAGAGTGAAGTGGTGAGCTTATGGTTTTATGTGACTTTAATGATGGAGAAAAGAGCCGGAACCTGCAGAGCCATGCCATGTGTGAGTACAACCTTAGCTTTACTTATTAGTCAATATCCTTACAGCAAGAACAGAGGATTGCATTTAATTGCAGCAGAGTGGTTTTTGATTGGTCCTGCTGACTTTTACACTCTGAAATTCAAATAGTATTTGTTCACAAAGGCCACATTTAAAGCTTATAGTGACAACTATTTCAAGAACAAATCCACCCTAGGATATTCTTACATTGTTAGATATCATCAGTCATCATTTTCCTTATCTGTTATCTGTATCCCATGAGTTATTTTATTTTGAGTATACCCACTCTGCCTTAACCAGACTCATCTTCCACTAATTCAGTTAATGAATAGATGTATTTATCATAATGCCTTATGACAACTACTAGAAAATGAGCATAACCTTTTTCCCAACTCACTAGAAGTTCACACATTTCCACCAGAGCACGGCTAACTTAATTTCCAGTTCTCTAAATTGTTACTCTAGTTTGCATTTTAACAGTTATAGAGGTTCTAAATATGTTTGCGATAGTAATGCATTGCCTTGCAGCACTGTCGCCCTTGAAACAATAAGGTTTTTTACCAAAAGTAAAATGTAATGAACAAATTGATTCTTTTCCTTCAAAGGTTTCATTCATCTAAAAATCACCTGAACAAAATATCAGGGTAATTATACTAAATGGAACAATGCAATTCAAACATAAACCAGCTGTGTAAAACAGGATGGTGAAATAGAGAAGATGATGAGCTAAATTAAACACAGTGGGAACATTTTATCAACTTGTTTACGTTATTACATTTATTCGCACAATGATTAAGTCCTGAAGAGACAATTATAGGAACAAAGGCACAAATTAACTGAAACAAGGAGTGATGTGCACCTGGTTCACTACAGTAAACTGAAATACAAGTACAGGGTCTACCTCATGCATATGCAATATCATCTCATGACCCGGTGCAGTATTAATGTTATTAAAAATATTAAACTCAGGATTATTCTTTTCACCTGGGGCCACATCTGGGCTCCATACAAATCACATTTCCATGGCTTCTTGTTTCCCTATCAGTGTGATTCATAAAAAAAATGTTCCGCCTGTCAAGTGCAAAACTGAAGATAAGTTGATTAAAGGCTTTTAAGCTTTCCAGTTCTCTACAATGTTTATTTGAAATACTACAGGAATAAATGTCTAAAGAATGATGTTTCCACCATTGTTGTGATCTGTTTTGCTTTTTCTTTTCAATTAATGCTGTCTACCGTTACCAATGCTGTGTAACATTATAAAAACTGAACTAGTACTGAACAAAAAAAGGATTTAAAAGAAGAAAAAAAAGCCAGGGGGAAGCCACTTTGGCCTGTTCTGGCCTGTCTGTTATACAATGTTTTCAGTACAGTGACACTGCGAGGCGTCTGTTTTCCAGACAGGGTTGATGAAGCATTTGTCTGTCACATTTTAGCTGTATGAACAGATTCACTGTTCATTTTGCTAATTAGAGGTGTCCAAATGCATACGGTCAAAACATATTTGCAAACATCTTGAGCTTTAGAAACTGTTGCTGTTGTACAATTCATAACCACAGTATTACATAGGCTGTAGAAACTGGAGAAGTGTAATGTTGGGACAATTGTGGGTTTTCTAAGTTTGATTTTTTATATATATCCTATATAAGTAGCACCACTATGCCTGTTTACCATCAGGGTTTTATCGTGGGTGTACTGCCATGCCGTGTTTATGTTCCAAAGCAAAGTTTTCACCCTTCACTGATACTTTATAAGCCTGAAATGTTTGTGAAACTCAGTTTTTTTCCCCTGTTAGCCAATGAGGTGGATGCAAATATTCTATTCCCTAAAAGCTTGTTCTATGCTTTTCCTCTCTTCCATTTGATCCCACTGCCAATGCAGACAGTCAGACAGGAGGTTATTCTTTCATGGTTATTCTGCAGCAGCGCTGTGATATGCAGAATACGCTCAGCTAATGGTTGCTCCCAATACCTCTCAGTGCTTGTATCATGTCAAGGTGAGACTGGAGACTCTAGGATTGTACCCAGCAGTGGTATAGGGCCATTCAATGCTTGCATGATCATCCAAGATAACTTCCTACTATAGGTCTCTGTCTTGAGTTTCCTGCTACTTCTGCTAGAGACTTGTTTGCCAATTCCAAATATAAGTGTCTAAAGCTACATACATGAATCTCTTGGAGTGGTTTGGGAAAGAAGGAGTTTTTAACCGTCTCTTGAAATATTGTGTTTCCTCTGTCCCTCAGTGGGATTTGTCCGTCGTGCTCAAGGGCCTGCCAAGCAGGCTGTTCAAGCCCACTGGGCAGATACCTCTAAGACCATTGTCCATCAAAAAAGGATTCCTGCTTGCTCTGACCTCAGCGCATTATTTGTGCACCCTTTCAGCCCATCTTCTCAGAATCTGAGTAGCACTATGCTCACACAAAACTCATTCTTTTCCCAAGAAGAGTCTTGGACGGAGCAGCTCAATGCCCTTTAGAGAAGAAAGAAGGAAAACTAAATAATTTGTTCACACTGCAGGATTTGGCATGCTATTTGGAACACACAACAACTTATTGGCAAATTCCTGCCCAAACAGTGGCTTGCCAATTAGCTGTGTGAAGACATCTTACAAGCCTGTGAGTGGACAGGCCCTCCTCTGGTGATTCATGTGCCCTCCATGAGGAGTCTGGCAGCATTAACAGCCTTGTTTGTTGGAACATTTGGCAATGAAGAGTTGTGCAATAGCATAAGGTGTGGCATGGTGTGTCATTCCAGATTTTTCCACCTTTCTGGAAACATGTCATGGTGTCATGAGGCCTGTATGCAGGGGCGCCGTATAGGGGGGAA